GATTAAGACATATGTCACTATTCACAAATAGTAAGAAGCAATTATGAAGGTTTCTTATCACAAGAACAAAGCATATTGAGGTCTCTTATCACTTCATCTACGAATTAGTTTCCGAAGGTTTCTTGTCAGGTCATGTTGTTAATTCTTCCAATCAGTTTGCAGATATATTTATCATAGGGCTCTTAACTCCAATTTTCTCTTCCTTTTGGTCCAAGCCCATGTGTACTTCATCCCCATCAGCGTGAATATCCCAAGATTCTTTCCCTTACTTGCTAGCTGTATATATTGTTTACTTTGACTTTAGTATGTAGTTATATTGCCTTGATTCCATCATCTTCATAATTTTCAACACTTGATACGTGTCAATGAACATAACCATCGTTCCACAAAATATTTTTCATTTATGTAAGGGTACAAAAAGGTAAAAGATATCCATTAATAGTACCTTGCTGTGGAAAATTTACACCAATTAAGGCATCAAACTCGTATAATTTGGCGTGTGATGTGCTTTACTTAATTGAAAGTAGCTCTTCTCCAAAATTATGTGCTTTACTTACTTGTAAGATATTTATGCATGTCAACTCATGATCCTGTGGGAGAGAAACAGAAGTGAGACATTATGTTAAAGGATGGGAACACAATTAATATCCCTTTCTTTGTAGTTGATCCATTGACTTGAGTCCAATTTTCAAAAAAAGAGGTGTCAAATGAACTGGGCCGCCCCGAGTACGGCACGAGCATGACCTACTTAAGTAAGGCTCAACACGGCATGACCCGTATCTTTGGGTTGTGCCAGGATGAAGTAACTAGGTCCAAATGAACTGGCCCGTTTAAAGCCCATTTATTAAATTGTACTTGTTCTAGAGAAAAAATAATACATAATATTATTACACATATATCTTAAATTCAAGTCTATTTCTTTTCACTAATAATATATACTAAAAATTATTATTTTTCTTTATATTTATAAAATAATGATTTTGTTTTTCAATTTTCAATTTTTAAAACCCAAACAATAATCTAGCAATTTTCTATTTAAATGTACTTTAAAGAAAGTTATTGACCTCTTTTTTTAAAAAATAAATAAATCTTATTAGTATATATATAATTATAAAAAATATTTAAATGAAGTTGTAAAAAAAAATTTAAAAAAAATATGTATTATTTGGTGTGGGCCCATATCGATCCTTTCAGTGGCCCGACACAAGCATGGCCCGAACCCATATGGACTTGGTCCGTGGATTTAGGTCGAGATTGATGATTTTCCTAAATGGACGGGCCTGACACAACTCGCTCTACCCTGACTAGTTAGGTGTATCTTTAAGTTCCAACACAAATTTGAAGCTTGAAGTCTCTCCCCTATCCACTTTGATAGATTCTCATAAAACCACAAAAGAATGTGACTTGTAAGTCTCGACACCAAGCTTGTTCTTGAGATGAATATGAGTACTCTAGAGATGGTAGTGCTAGCAATTCTCTCCCTAGAGTAGCCGATTTTAGCTTCACAGAATACGAGATCTGGATCTCAATCTCTCAATCTCAAAGATGCCCCAACTCTAATGTGAGGAGATGTATAAAGTTGCTTTTACAGTGATCTAACATGTGCAAGACCTACATCCTCCCCTTGTGGTCGTCCATGCCTTGTTATTGTGCTTATTGGACTTTATTGGATTTAAGTTGTTATACAATTTCAATTACAAGTACAATGGTTCTAAGCCCCCAATGAACCTAAAACCTCGAAGTTGAGGGGTATGCTCAGTGGCAGATCCAGGATTCAAAAATCAAGTAGGCGAAACTTACCTTAAAAACTCAGTGGTACGAATGAATTTCATTCATAAAAATAAAAAAATACACCTAGTCAGGGGGGACGTAATGAGCCTTACCCTCAAATATGCACATATATACATTAATAAATGATTAACAACAAAAAAACTAAAACAAAAAACAAAAAAATGCAATGCAACACAAAACTAAACTATTTAAATCTAAAACTTTACCCTACAAGACTTAGAAATCTTAAATTCCTCAATTATCTATGTATTATTGATACTATTAGCAAACTCTCTTTCAATGTGGAGGACTATGTAGTCGAAAGTTATTGACCTCTTTTTTTAAAAAATAAATAAATCTTATTGATATATATATAATTATAAAAAATATTTAAATGAAGTTGTAAAAAAAAATTTAAAAAAAATATGTATTATTTGGTGTGGGCCCATATCGATCCTTTCAGTGGCCCGACACAAGCATGGCCCGAACCCATATGGACTTGGTCCGTGGATTTAGGTCGAGATTGATGATTTTCCTAAATGGACGGGCCTGACACAACTCGCTCTACCCTGACTAGTTAGGTGTATCTTTAAGTTCCAACACAAATTTGAAGCTTGAAGTCTCTCCCCTATCCACTTTGATAGATTCTCATAAAACCACAAAAGAATGTGACTTGTAAGTCTCGACACCAAGCTTGTTCTTGAGATGAATATGAGTACTCTAGAGATGGTAGTGCTAGCAATTCTCTCCCTAGAGTAGCCGATTTTAGCTTCACAGAATACGAGATCTGGATCTCAATCTCTCAATCTCAAAGATGCCCCAACTCTAATGTGAGGAGATGTATAAAGTTGCTTTTACAGTGATCTAACATGTGCAAGACCTACATCCTCCCCTTGTGGTCGTCCATGCCTTGTTATTGTGCTTATTGGACTTTATTGGATTTAAGTTGTTATACAATTTCAATTACAAGTACAATGGTTCTAAGCCCCCAATGAACCTAAAACCTCGAAGTTGAGGGGTATGCTCAGTGGCAGATCCAGGATTCAAAAATCAAGTAGGCGAAACTTACCTTAAAAACTCAGTGGTACGAATGAATTTCATTCATAAAAATAAAAAAATACACCTAGTCAGGGGGGACGTAATGAGCCTTACCCTCAAATATGCACATATATACATTAATAAATGATTAACAACAAAAAAACTAAAACAAAAAACAAAAAAATGCAATGCAACACAAAACTAAACTATTTAAATCTAAAACTTTACCCTACAAGACTTAGAAATCTTAAATTCCTCAATTATCTATGTATTATTGATACTATTAGCAAACTCTCTTTCAATGTGGAGGACTATGTAGTCAGCAAGGAATTCATCAGCTATGGTGCTCCGAAGTCTATTCTTAATAATTCTCATACATGAAAAAGCTCATTCCATTGTTGCTGTAGAAACAGGAAGAGTCAACACCAATTGAATCAACCTGTAAAGCAAATGGTAGTTTTCTACTAGAGTTGTTTTCACCAATTGTTGACATAACTGAGAAAGAATACTTGTTTCCTCATATATGAGAAGAGAAGGGGTTGTCGACAATTGCACAGCCTGACTATTGCACAGCCAAGACTGTTGAGAAGAACCTGCCGATTGTTTGGAATTGCACAGCCAAAAGCTATTTGGCTGCTTATAAGTTATATTCCTCTTTTTTTTTTTACGTTTGACTGGGCCATTCCATAACACAAGAGTGTGGGCTGGTTATAATTTTTTCCTTTTTTTAAAAAAAATTTTGAGTGGGCCATATAACACATGTGGGTTGCTTTTAAGTTTTACATGGGCTGGGTAGGCATGGATTTACACAATCACATGTGCTGGGTAGGAATAACTTTGCTTATACATAGGTTTTTTTTAAGTGAAAAAATTTGGGGTAGGCAGCTTCCTACCCTGCGTTGGCTGTAGGACCGCCACTGGGTATGCTGGTTCAGAAAAATGGCTAATGAGTCGTAATAGCATAACTTGAGATCAATGTGACCAAAAAGGTTTTTCCAGTCCTTGTGGTTGGTACTGATTTTTGGCTAGCTTGGTAAACCTTGGGTTGTTGGGGGAGTATCAAATAAGTTTACCTTTCGTACACCATTGGAAGTATTATGGTCCTTATAACTGGTGCCCGTCAGGGCCTTTTTGTGCGTTTAATGGCTGTTGTAACTAGGCTTGTAAAAATGACCCAAGCCCAATTAGCTAGCTTGAATTCGGTCCTATTTTTTAGGTTATGGGCCAACCTAGCCTTGTATTATGGGCCGATAGGCGAGCTTGGCCTGGGTCGTTTGTGTAAAGGGTAGGACTTGGGCTACAATTCCTAAGCCCATGAATGATACTGCCCCCGGCCCAATATTTAAATTAATAAATAACATTTTTATAAATTAAACTAATATTAATCATGCTTTGTATTTAATTAGAAGATTTAAAAGAATATAATGACCCATTATATTTTACAAGCCAAAAAGAATATAACATTAATTATCATTTTACAGGCCAAAAAAGCCCGTAATTGGGTAGGCCCTGAGCTAACCCTAAGCCCGACCCATTTTACAGACAAGCCTTCAAGGTGATTTTTATTAATGAAACATCTTGGGTTATTTAGTGTATTTACTGAATGTGATAAATTGAGCCCAAGGGGTTTAATTAGAATTTCCTCGTTCTTTCACGATTTAGTAAACTGTGCTGTGTATTAGATAGAGTGCTGCTATTTTCACTGACTTGTCCCATTTCCCCACCACCTTATCTTCCCACCAATTATGTAAATTTGAAAAAACACAATCCTATCTTTGTTAAAAATTGGCTCACATTAAGATGCAAGTGTTGTAGGAGGCAACTGGTCGTTAGGTAGGCGCAACTGGTCATTTTGAAGCAGAGTCAAAATTCTGGAAAAAACATAGAAAGAGATCGGTTGCCAGGGAATTGCGACCGGTCATTTTCAGACAAATTGTACGCCAGTGAGTTTTCCTAAATGCAACTGGTCGTCGCCGTTCTAGGTTTATTTTTCCACGCTTTTTTCAGGTTCTACAATTGTTTTGGTTTATAATCATTTTCTTCAAGTTGTTAGAAGTCTTTTTATAAATGGGTAAATTTATCTTAAAATTTTGAAAATATAGTGTGTAGAAAAATGTGAAAACAGTTGCACTCATTAGAAAATATCATTTACTGCTCATCCAGAAACAGAAACAGAAACAGTGGTGTGTGATCAAGAATCTGATATATAAACACACTCTCAAATGAGTCATCGTCTCCACAGCATCCTCCTCGGCACCACCATCCGCATCCATCGCTCCATTCCACCCCACCTAATTTCCAGGTTCCTCGCATGCCAAATCTCTTGGCCTCTACGTGTTTGTTTATATGCTTATTTATACAGTTTTCGGTTCTGCGTTTTGTTTGCAGGGCTTGGTTTTGTAGCGGTAGATTCAGAAACCAGACCCACATGGAAAGCCATGCTTCTTGTGAGGCGGTTGTGGGTGACTCTGAGCTCTTGGTTAAAAAAATGGCTGCTATTTGTAATGCCGGTCCCGCCAAACTCCAGGTTGCCCACCTCATTCCCTTTGTTTTTTTTTCCTTTTCAATTCTTATGAAGCATATGTTTGATACTCAATTCTTTAGTTTTCTTCGACCAGAAAAAAGATTCATTATTTTTCTTATTTAAAGTTTTTTGGGTTTTTTAGGTTGGAAATTTATGCTCAAATTTTGTGTTTTGTGTTTTAAATAGCAACAAAGTAAGATAATTGAGAGCAGTTTTCTTCCATTGATTTTTTTTTTTGAATGTGCAGATTCCATTATTGTTTCTAGAGGGAATTTTGTTTATGTAATTTTCATGTCAGGTAATAGCAGATTTTGATGGCACACTAACAAAGTACCGGGTCAATGGTTGTCGGGGACAAAGTAAGTGTTTTTTGTGGTCTTTGAACTTTATTCTTTGTTATCACTATCTGTTTGAAAGATTTATTTATTTTATTTTTTATATTCATTGATAACAAGAGTAGGCAGTCATGGCCTTTTGCAACAGGAGAATCCGGAATATGATAAGAAAAGGCAGGAATTATATGAACATTATCATCCGTTAGAATTCTCCCCGACAATTCCAATTGAAGAGAAAACTAAGCTTATGGAAGAATGGTATTTCGCCTACTTAATTGAATCTTAAGGACACTGCCCGGGATTGAATCAAAATGAATTCTTTTGTTGTTATATGCTTCTGAGTGGCCTCTATTAGTCTTTTTATTTTTATTTTATTTTATTATGATCACCTAACTGGCATGAATTGGTTCACCTGAAAGTTCATGTTCATATGGAGCTATAACAATGTTACCTCAGTCCAAGGAGCTATAATATGTTACCTTAGTCAAATAATTGGATTTCAGATAACATTAATTTTGATTGCATGGATACAGGTGGACAAAAACTCATGGTCTCTTAGTTGAGGGAGGTCTTACCTATGATGGAATAAGGCAATCTGTTGCTAACTCCACAATTGCTTTTAGGGAGGGTGTTGTTGAACTATTTGAGTTTTTGGAGGTAAGTTTAATTTTGCTGCAATAATTATGTGAGTAACTGGCTACATATATGTCCTGGGATAGAAAGAATCCATTGAAGATTTTGATCTGTTTAATGTTTGAGTTAATTCATAATGAATTAATTTATGTTGGCTTGGTCATTTGTTCTCTGATGCAACGTCCTAAAACTAACTCAGTCTAATTTTTTTTCCTTTAATTTTTTTAGTGGAAAACAGAGAAAAACTTATTCTCATTAAGCTATACCATTACTGTTTCCCTCTACCCACTTTTGCAGGAAAGAGACATTCCCATTCTTATATTTTCTGCTGGACTTGCTGATATCATAGAGGAGGTTAGTTAAGTTTTGTGGCTATATTTCTTGCCATTTTAAATTTCTAGGTCTATTTCGCAACTTTCTTGTGCATTAATGCCTTTTCTTCTCATTGTTCCAGGTCCTTAGGCAGAAGATTCACAGACTTTTCAAAAATGTGAAGATAGTCTCAAATCGGATGGTATTCGATAATAACGGTCACCTTGTATCTTTTCAAGGTATCCACTAATGCTGAATTGTTTTCACACTATAAAGAGAAATTATAAAGATAATGTCCTACTATGGCATATCAAAAACAAGTTGTTCTGAAGAAAATTTGTTTGTGTTTATTTAAAACTTGTTTGTATTTTTGTCCAGTGTCAAGGCTGACAATATGGGTAGGCATCCCCTCTCCTGAACCCACCAAACCTTTGCTGGTCCAAAACCTAGGACTTGAAACACATCCTTGCATTTAGAAGAGGGCTGGCTTATGCTACATTGCTACTAGGCTCTAAGGCCATTGGAAAATGGCGCTAACGTACAAGTTTCACTTTTCTTTTATCTTTCATTTGTTTAAATAACTTTATCATTTTTTCCTCGACACAAAAAAGTAATGTAAGCAAATAGAAGTAATTATTTGGTGAAGTTTTGTTTTTATTCCAGTGAGTTATTTTGGTGTTAAATGAAAGCTGGGTACTTCATAAGTTAATGGTGCTTGTGCAGTCTTATATGATAATTTTGTCTTAATATTTTTTTTGGTTTGGTTCAAGCCCCTTACTACTATGAGGTCCATTCTTGACAATGCAGTAGTATATGTTCGTACCCTGAATGTTTTTTTTTAAACTTGATTTTACAGGGAAGACGATTCATAGTCTGAATAAAAATGAGCATGCTCTGGATATGGCTGCTCCCCTTCATGATCGATTAGGTGATAATATAGATGCTCCTACTTATGAGAATGCCTCGGTCAAGACTAGAAGAAATGTGCTGCTTCTGGGTGATCACATTGGTGACCTGGGAATGTCTGATGGCTTGAACTATGAGAATAGAATTTCCGTGGGATTTCTGTAAGTAATAATTTATTGTACTGCATACTTAATATATATGATAGAGTTGACGAGTAATGAATCTAAGAGTAACTTTTTTCATAATTCAGTATACTCGTGTTAACTTATATTTCAAGCAACTTCTTCAATAGCAAGTAGAATGCAAAATGGATATCTCTTGACAATATATTCTTCATTTCAGAATATATTGTTCTAAATCTGCAAAGAATTTGGAGTAAAACTGTATTTAATTAGTTACTTGTGAAATATCATTGTCAACTCTTATGAGTTCAGGCTGCTTCCAAAGTGGTGTATAGCTAAACACTAATGTCATAATATTCTGTAATCCCAATATTAAGAACTGTTTTACTCTAGTCCTTTGATGTTCTATATCCTGCTTCTGTGCTGCATCATGTTTTAAATTCCCTGGCATGGATGCTTCATTTCCAAACGTTTTGTTGTTCTAAAATTTAATATGCTTGCTATTGAGAAGCAGTTCCGTTTCCTATGTTTAAAAAGGGGGAAAAGGGCAAATTCTTTACTTATTCATGGTCACATTTTGTTAAATATAAACAGGGCAAATGTTATGTGTGTTCACCTTTTGTCACATGTCACATTATAAACAGGGCATTTGAGATGTACACTCACACAATAATCCTATATTCCACATTCGTTTTTCTTTGTTCGTTTTCTTTTGTTTCTTATCTTTACATAATGGTATTTTTAATTAAAGTCGCAATTAAAAGCCTGAAGTAGATTTTTTTTGTGGTCAGTCAGGTACAGTTTAAACATTTAAATATATATATGAGATGACTGAATGTAAAACTTTTCATACTTTTAGCAGAACAGGAAACATAATAAACAGGGTTAGTTGTAAGGATGAATATGCTATCAACACTAAATATGAGTGGCCTGCTTGAAGAGAAAGTCAAACTGGTATGGTGGATCAAAACCTGGTTAACCCGGGGGATTATCCATTTTTCGGTTTTCAAGAGATGGGTTTTTCAACAATCCTTTACAGCATATAATTTCAGTCATTTGACCTTTTAGCCCATTCCAACTGGCTCACTTTTACAGTGTTCTAGTACACGAAAGCTATATTTTTCAAGTTTTAATCATGTTAATTAATTCTTTCAAGTCCAAAAAGTTTCAATTTAGCTGGTCTTGGGTCGGCTTATTTTTATTTTATTTTTTGTTAACAAAATATTAGCCCTTGAAAAATTTCGGGTTCCGCCCTTGTTGTTACATAATCCTCATTTTCTAGTTCCCACGGTTATTACATGAATAATATAGTTCAAAAAGTAGGGGGAACTGATTTTTCAATAACTGTGAAGAAAAATATATATTAAAAAATCAAAAGAGCATCGATATAATATTGGACTTCATAAAATGTTCAAAAAGTAGCATTGAAAGTGATGACTTGGATGACCAAGTGACTGAAATGGTAAGACAAGGAAAGAGGGAATTACGATAAATTAACCCATTAAAGAAAGATAGAGCCAAGTATGTGGAGATATTAGTTCATTTGGTCTGATGATGCAAGAACATCTAGATGGCTTTCCAAGATTAAGTGGGGCCAGTTGCCAACGTGGCTTGCGGTTCTTGTTAGCTTGGGAATTTACTTTGTTTTTTTATTTGCTTTGTTCGACTATTCTGTTTTATTTTGTCTGCTTGATGGTAGTTAGCTTTGTCTCTTTTATTTTACTTCATGATGAGTCATTATTATCTTAGTTATGTTCTGCATTGCCTGCAAAATGCAGTTTTTAGTTCTGTGAAAAAGTAAGCCGGATTATAGCCATTTTGGCCAAACTAAGTGCCACCTCTATTTTACTTTTTGAACTTATAATATTGTTACATTGCAACCAACAATTAGAGGCAGCTGAATTTGTTCATTAAGTGCCCAAGAAGTTAAAGTTAATTGTTTTATTTTAATGGAAAGATAATGAACAAAGAAGTTATATTTGCACGTCCCCTTAGTTTATTTTTCAAATCTGATAAACTAGCCAGACAAAGAGTTATGATGATCCATAAATTGATTTGGTTGCTGAATCATGTTAACTGCTGTTCCAGGAATGACAATGTTGAGAATTCTCTTGATAGCTACCGCAAAGCCTTTGATGTTGTTTACCTGGTGAGTTGAATGCCTTGAAAGGTTGTGTGGTTGCTTTGACTGTTTTTGGTTTCCAAAGGATTAATGAGGTTACTATGCTTGTATGTTTATCTATTTGGCGTTGTTAGATTATCTTTGTCCTTGGATAGTTGACCTGTTCAGCATTCAAACCCTGAACGATTCATTGTCTTTGGCCAAAGCTGACAGGATTTCCTACTTACTAAATATTGTGATAATGAATTATCTAAAGAAGGGAAATATAGCAAGAGCGTTTGAAATTTTTTGAAGATGTGGGAATAAAATGTGAGTATTACTAGGATAGAACTAGATGACGATACTTAACTTGTTGCATGGCTTCTTGCAGAATGATGCACCCATGTGGGGAGTTGTAAAGCTTGTTTCACAACTCTGTCCAAGTGATGGTCATTGAGTTGTAAATCTCTTACTATTCAATACTTGGAAGCTCATTCGCCAAAAATAAATCCTTCGAATCTCCTGTCTGCTTTCTTTTATTAACATCCATAGATAGATTTGGTAAAGTGTTCCTTTCATCGGCAAAAGGTTTTCCAACATGTGGCCGCTTTTCCTCTTTTCCTAGCAATAGAAGAAATATATTTAATTGGTCAGTTTTAGACAACAAGAAGCAAATTTCTATAATCTTCAATCTCTTGATGTTCTAAGCTCTGCATTGGGAGCTAACATCTGTATATCTGCACTACTTTTGAGCTGAAACATTTGTCCACAAAATGCGTGCCTCTGGAGCTGAAAGAAATTGATATACCAAAGAATTTGGATGTTAAATTTTCATCACTCATGTTGAATTGATTGTTTGTAGTGTTACAGTTTGAAATATGAAGGACTAAGAATAGCAAGGGAAACAGGACTCATGCTTTTGGCGTAGTGCTACCTTTTTTCTTACTAGGTACTTGAAATTCTTCTAGTGCGTAAGCTTTTTGGCTGAGGTGTTGCTCTGGAAGCGTACAACTTATTTTGGCCCCCCTTGATTTGAGTTCTTTTGTCTTTTAGTGAAATAATTTCAGAATGATATATTTATTTATTTGTAATAGCTGTTGGTGAAATTGACATTTGAAAGAGAATATGCTCACTAGTGACTTCTGAAATGGGATCATTATACTTATAAAATTTACAAAGTCAACTGGGTATCTTGTTATTTTTTCACCATAGATTCCTTCACTATATTTCCAGTTTCGAAGTGCTAAATATTTGGTTGTTGCTCAGAACGAAGCAATCATGAGCTAACTCCCTCCAAATAATAATATAATTGAATTAATGTTTGTATTTTTGGAAGAAAAAAAAAATGTTTGTAGTTAATTTAGGCTTAAAGTCACTTTTTATCACTGTAGTTTGGCAATTCAACCACTTTTGACTCTATAATGTCATATTTACATGTTAAAATTTCTATCAATTTTTTTAATGGAGCAACCACGTGCCCTTCACATGGAGGGGCAATTTTGTCGGCCCAAAGCCCCACATAAAAGTTAGTCTCTACCTCTTCCCTAGGGTGCATGAAATTGCCCATTTTGAAGCATATTAGGATTATGGCTCTTAAAAATTTAGTGAAATTCGTCTAAGTTTTCGATTGAGCACAATGAGAGGGTGCGAAAAAATTAGCAGAACTTCAATAGGTTGTTTCCGTAAAGAAGCAATGACGATGGTGAAGAAGAGAGGTGAAGTCAATGGAGGCTTCAATAATTCAGGTTTATAGGTTCAGTTTTTTGTGTGAAATTGTTTTATAACTTTTATTCGACTTTTCAATGCATATAAGTGGGTTCCAACTCTTTTTTTTTTTTTTAATTCCATTCTTTTGTGGCCTTGTTTTTTTGTTCTGTAACTTTGGGTTTGGAAAGTTATTGCTTTGTTGCTTTGGCAGTTACTGCTTGAGATGGTGATTGAAAATTTTGTAAAATATTGTGTGTGTATTGAGAGTGGTCCCATACATGTTTAGCCTTTAGGAAACACAATGATCCTCCATTTGCATAAAGTAAAGCAATATGCATGCCATTTGTTATTTAATAGCTTTGAATGCTTTGATTCACATAAAGTAAAGCAATATTTTCAATCTCATAGCGTTGATTTTTCAGATGCTGGCCCTCCAGAATTTCCTTAAGTCAAAGCATCTGATGAGGTTCCAGATGAATATTTTGATGATATTTTTAATCAATCTTCACAAAATTCCGACAAGAAGTGGGTAATGACAACGTGGGAAACAATATTTTGAGGATAGTGAAGAAGACTTTGACGCCGATGATAGGAGAGTAAGAGATCTTCAAGACAGTGGTGATGAATCAAATAAAGAAACATATGAAAGTGATAATGATGCTGCCACTTCAAGACTTCAAGACCAACTCCTCTTATACCCACTCCAAGGCCTATTCCTAATATGCAAATTGGAAATTCAAGTTCTGTGAATCAAAGACAAATTGAGGTGCAAGATCAATGAATCCAAGACCAACTCTTAATATGCAAATGGGAGGTGCAAGTTCATATGGGAGTTACCATTAGGCCTCCACTACCGAGGCAAATGGGAGGTTCAAGAGCCCGATGGAACCCACCAGAAAAAGCAACAAACAAGAAAATTTCCAAGTCAACTGAAATTTCTTGGCAGCCAATATTTTGTGAACTGAAGTTGGCCTTTACTGTAATTTAATAGTTTTTGGTTGTTGGCTAATATTTTGTGAACTTACTTCTTTTGCTATACTGTAACAGGCCTTGAATTCTTCTTTTGTTATCGGCCATGCTTTTTTTTTTTTTTTTTTTTTTTCTGCAAGTATAAGACCCTTGTTTTGGGTATAATGCAATCAGATTTGACCCCCAAAAAAAAAAAAAAAAAAAACCACACACACACACACACTCAAATGTTCATTGTGAAATAGCAATCAGATTTAACAATCATAATAGAAAAATACTAAATTCTTGGTTTTTTATTTTTTATTTTATAGAAAGATATTTCATTAGAAAAGCCCCAGAAAGGCCGAAGGAGGAAACAAGACAGGAATAAACGATCGTGCATAAATACAAAACAGAACCACCAGGTGATAACAACTAAAGCCAAAGTCAAAGAAAACCATAACTAAAAATACATGACACCAGCAAAAACCTCCAACCATCGAAACAAGAATTGTTTGGTTTTACACTTTTGTACTTCATTTTCAAAGGAGCCACTATCTCCTTCAATTGCTATAGTTGCTATAGTTGCAAAGTGGTGTGGGTGTGACGTGGAGAATGGTGGAGGGAGTTGACATTGGCTATTTGGAAGATTAAATCTGTAGGGAGAGAGAAAGGGATGGAGGAGATAGAGATTGGTTAGGTGCTGGGAAGTTGGGATAGTGAAGGAGAGAGGATTTGAGATTTTGGTTAAGTGACTTTTGGCCTTTAATTTATATCCCAAACGGTTATTTATATAGAACCATGAGCACACATCTAAGCATCCACAAAAGAAATGCAGTTCTTTACCAAACAAAACTTGAGCACTTATTTGTCAATGGATTCTTCCATATCTGAGATGCTCCAATTGCCATCCTTTTCTGTCTTCTTAGCTTCGCTTTTCTTCTTATTGATGATTTTCAAATACTGGAAGAAATCTCAAGCCAAAGGCCTGAGCAAGTTGCCTCCTGGGCCAAAGCAGCTGCCTATTATAGGGAACTTGCACCAGTTGATTGGTGCCCTACCACATCATGCTGTAACCGACTTGTGCAACAAACATGGTCCCGTCATAAACCTGCAACTGGGAGAACTTTTTGCTGTGATCATTTCATCGCCGGAAGCAGCCAAAGAGGTCTTGAAGACGAGCGAGATCAGCTTTGCGCAAAGGCCGGAAGTGTATGCAGTTGAAATAATGGCATACGATCATTCAAGCATCGTGTTTGCTCCTTACAACGAGTACTGGAGACAACTGCGAAAGATATCTGTGATGGAGCTCTTAAGCGCTAACCGTGTCCAATCGTTCAGATCGATAAGGGAAGAGGAGGTGTGGAATCTTGTAGAGTTCATCGCCTCCTCCCAGGGACATACCATAAATTTGAGTGACAAGATATACACCATGACAAATGATGTGGTTTCAAGGGCAGCATTTGGTAACAAGTGCAAATACCAACATGAGTTTACATTATTGCTTGGGGAAATTATACTTCTTGCTGGAGGCTTTAACATCGCTGACTTGTACCCTTCTCTTACATTTCTTCGTTCCATGAGTGGGATGAAGCCTGCATTGATGAAAATTCAGAAAAAAATTGACAAGATTCTTCAAGATATTGTGAGGGAGCATAAGATGAAAAGAGAAGCTAGTAGAAAAGGCTTTGATAGGCTTGGTGAAGATGAGAAAGATCTGCTTGACACGCTTCTGAATTATGAGGAGGCCAATAAGCATGAGTTTCATCTCACAACCGATCAAATCAAAGCCGTCACTATGGTACCATCTCTGCACTCTAGCAATAATTGTTTTTATTGGGTAGTGGGCTTGTACTTCAAGTCGTTAAGAGCAATTATTTGTGCATTTGAGTTCTTGTGTTTGAATCCTTCCCCCAATATCTCTTGTATTTTTAAACTCCTAAGTTGCCTAAAACATACTAAATCATCTAATACACTCACACAAACTCTAGTGAGCCTAAAAATTATTAAACAAGAACAGGGTGTCTAGAAACGGTGTGCTTAGTGGTTGTTTTTTTTTTCCTTCTTGGCATATTGTGTTCTCTGTCAGATGTTCTCACTGTCTTGTGACTGTAGAAAGGATTATAATTTCATAGCAAGACTCTTTTGACAATTGGATTGTGTTGTAGTGTTCTCGTCGGAGGTCTTGCGTCGAAGGTTTATGGGTCAGTTTGCTGTTTTATTTTATCTTGCTAGCATTGCTGTTTGAATTCTTTTGTTAGTCTATGACATGTGCATACACTTTCTCAATGACGGATCCATGATCTGAACCCTGTAAAATTTCAAACCAAACTTATGCCAATTAACCAAAAAAACAAAAAAAACCACAACCATCTAATCAACAACATACATCATCCTTGTTTTGATATTAGGATTTAGAACTTACTTGAAATGAGAAATATCACAATAATAGTGGTACCACAACATGTAGTGGATGGCGGCATAACTCCGACGACAGTGGCAATACATCAGTGACACATAAAATAATCCAAATAATAACTTACATTAATTATTAAGTTGGATGGCCTTTTTTTGTCTTTTTACACAATAATAAAACTTACAGTTTAATGATTTAAGTATTGGGGTGAACAAAGAGAAGTGTGATGTTTAAATAGAAAAAACACACCAATTAACCACAAAAAAATCTAAAACTCAAACAAATATAATCAATTAATCAAAACAATATAATTAAGCCATAAATTTAATTTCAATTCAATTAATTACACTATATATATAGCATACATAACATTAATTTAGGCTTAGGATTTTAGAACTTACTTTGTGAAATTTCACAACAATAATGGGGCACACATAGCAGGTGGTAGACACAGCGGTGACAGGCGGGCAATAAAGGAGAGGAGATGGGGTTAAGGGTTTTGGTGGGGGGGAAAGGATATTGGGGGTTTAGGGTTTGGGATTGGTTGGGTATCGGGTTAAGGTTTCTGTTTAGGGGGTGGGGTGGAGATAACTGATTGGTTTATTTATTTATTTATTAATATTTTGTTATTTTTAAAACACCTGGTCCAAAATGGCTTCGTTTTGGCCAGGTTATTTTTAAAAAAATTCCTGGGTCAAAATGACATGGTTTTGCCCAGGAGTTTTTTTAAATTTTATTTTAAAAAGAAGCCAACGTTTCTTCTTCTTCTTCCTCATGCTGCGCAGCACTCCTCCTCTCAGGCAAATGGTCGAGGAGCTGGAGGGTGTCCCATGGGGTCACACAATCGGCTCATGAGGACCTCCAAGCCTATTTCCATGGCCTCCATGGGGTCGTTTTTGACCCCAATGCTCCACTATGGCTCCGTCTATGCTCTTTCCTACCCTGAGGTTTGTCCCTCAAGAAAGTTTTAACGAGGCCACTGTTTCGTGTCGTTTTATATACGCTACTTTGATTCTATGAATGGATTCCATTTCTAAAAAAACAAGAACATAGTGTCTATTCTTTATTAGTGGAGGACCCATTTTATCCATTTTCACATTATGTGGTATGCATTCGTCAACTTCCACCTTACCTTACTTTTGGTTGAAAGAAAAATGTATGTATGCTAATTTCCCTAGCTTTAAATCGTATTTCTTCATTTTCATAGTGGCAAAATCTGTAATTTGTTAATTAGCAATTTCATATTTTAAAACAGTGTACTTTAGCAATTATTAATTCCCAAAAAGGTTTTCTTGTTGTGAAAGGAAACATATATACAAGCATATGGATGATGTTGTTAACAAGGTTTGAAAGGAAAGCTCTATTGTTATGCTTTTGTACTCTTTTAGAAATTCTAGAATTGCATTCATAATTCAGTTAAAAAAGCCACTAAACCACAAAGAGCTATTACAGTATCAGAGCAATCTAACATCCAAATTAAGACAATTTAGGGCTCATCCACTAACGATCAAGTAAGATCGAAGAAACTCTTGCATAGGCATCCCAACTAAGAGTGCAAACTCAGAACCAAAAAAAAAAAGAAAAAAGATAAAAGATAAAGCTTGAAAAAACCAAACCATAACAGTACAAATAAAACTCTAAAAATGCAAAAGCCCTAATGCTTTTTGTACTTAATTAAGTTACATTTTGTGATGAATTATTAAGTTACTTTTTAATATGTACTAACAAAACCTAATATTATTGTACAGTTATATAATTCATAGCAACTTCACAATGATTTCA